GTGGGAGAACTTGCACAATTGGTGGCTGACTAAATACTTTTTTGCCCCACTGTATTTGCTTGATACAGAATACAGTACATAAAACAGTTTCTTCCACAATATTTGTAAATTAGAATAGGATATATAATCATGGGAATCTGTTTTTTTTAATCTGGAGGCACCAAAAAACAAAGCATTTCTTGTTTTCTAATACAGTGAAACCATGATTTATCAAACCCCAACTCAATGAACTTCACATGTAATGGACCAAATTTTCAGGGCAATTTCCATCATTTGTGGTTTTGTTTTGTTTTGTTTGTGATCACATAAATGTCATGTTGATGCAAATGATGTAATTTGCATCAATTGCTTAATGACATTATCACCCAAATAAGATAAGTTTCTGCAATGACATACAGGTAGTCCTCATTTAGTGACCACAATTGGGACTGGCAGCTCAGTCATTAAGCGAAGTGGTCTCTGAAACTGCGACTGTGCTTATGATTTTACTTCAGCTTTCCTTTGCTTTACAGACCTGCAAAGATCGTAAAAGCAAGGATTGGTCGTAACACTATTTTTCATCACTGTTGTAACTGCGAATGGTTGCTAAACGAGGCAGCCGCTAAATGAGGACTACCTGTATTTTCATTAGAACAGAAACTTCATTTTAAAGTTAAAAATGAAGTTTCATTCCATATTGCTAAAATGAAGTTTCATTCTATATTCATTTTTTGGACAGGAATGCAATATTAACTGATTACTATACCTATAAACATACTATTCTGGAATTAAATGAAGCCCATTGATGATAACAGGTTCATCTAAATCCCATAGATTTTTGCATTACATAACTCTATTTAATGGAAAGAGAAGACAATTATGAAATGAATAGATTTCTGTCTAGCTATCTGACATTTGAAAATATTTTTAATTGGACAATTCAGAATAGGCTGTGGGAGCTTTAGAAAAATGTCTGTGCAAAATAGCTGCCATGAAAGACTTAGTCAGACTTAAAACACCCCAGTGCTACCTGCCACCATCTCTAGCCCTCACCCCTTGCACCCATTCCCCATTTCCATCTTTGTCCTTCTGGAGGGCTGGAAGCACCTATTATTTTTAGTTTCTAAGAAAGCTTACTGGACTTGTGGTGAGGATTCATGGCAAACTAGATGTCTCTAGTGGAGACAGCACTGTGTCGAGATTGGTGGCTAGAATGGATTTCTGGGAGAGTAATGGCGGATTGAGGACGGCTCCATTTTTGCAAAACCAAAGGCTGCAGCAGTTAAGAGAAGCTTTATCTCCAGATAAAGGGGATGTCTGGATCACCCACAAGAACTCCTCTCAGGGAGGCTGGGGAAAGAGGGCATGGGGGACATGTGTCCATGTGTGTGACTGCAGGAAGGCCGAGGAAAGAGGACATGGAGTGCATGCGATTGCAGGGAGGCCATGGAAAGAGGGCATAGGAGTGCATGCATGCGAGTGCAGGGAGGCTGAGGAAACAAAGCGCAGGATGTGTGCAGTCACAGGGAGGCTTTGGAAAGAGAGCATGGGAGTGCATGCATGCGAGTGCAGGGAGACTGAGGAAAGAGAGTGCAGGAGTGTGCAATCACAGGGAAGCCAAGGAAGGAGGGTATGGGGTACATCTGTGTGTGCGTGCAAGTGAAGGGGGGAAGAAGGGCATGATGTGTGTGAGTGAAGAAAGGCCGGGGGGGAGAGATACCCCAGTGAGTTGCAACCTCCTTTGCCACCTTCCCATTGACTTAGCTTGAGGAAAGCCAACAGGGAAGGGCACAAATAGCGAACATGTGTCTGCGGGATGCTGAAACTGGTCATAAGTGCGAGTTGGTTGCCAGACACCCGAATTTTGTTCAAGTAATTGTGGGGGCACTGCAATGGCTGGAACTTCAAGGATCTATCATAAGTCCCTTTGTTCATCACCTTTGTAACATCCAACGGTCACTGAACGAGCGGTTGTAACTCTAGAACTAACTGTATGCACTGGGTGAGTTTCCTTTAATCTTTAGTGAAAGAAGTTTTAAGTTTAAGGACATTTGAAAAAAATCTTTTTTTGAATGAACAGCAAAAGGGTGATTAGAATATTGATTTTGGAAAGTTATAAACAGACTATGGATCCAGATGGATTTGAAATAACATTTTGAAATTAATTATAAGAATTCTTCCCATGGGAAAATGCTGTTGTTTTGAATTCTTAAAAGAAAGCCTAATAAGATGGGAATTTGAATGTTGGACACTAGAAGGAACCAGAAGAACTAAAGATTACAATTAAAGGAGAAGAACACTTAAATTTGACTTTCTAACACAGAATGGAGCAAAATACCTTAACATTGGATGTATTGAAGGATATTTTTGAACAATGGACCTAGAAGTTAATCTTAGAAGTGTTTGCCATTATAGACTGTGTTCAGATGTTAAGGAAGAGGAACAAGTTTTACTGGATAAGACTGAGATGATCTGAAAATGGATTTAAAAATGACAAGCTACAAGAACGATATGGAAAAAGATGTTACACCAGATATACAAATGAAACCGGCTAATGTTTTAATAATTAAAAGGGGTATACAAATGGCAAACCAGAAGAATGACTTGGATAATTTTCCTATATTGGATTTACAAAAGAGACCTGTTAAACTTCTGAGGGATTTTGTGAGAGGTGATAAAGAAAAAATGAAAAGAAAACAAGCTCTAGGACATTATTTGGATTAAAGATTAAGATTGTTAAAAGTAAAAGAAAGGAATATAAAGTGGGTTTATTTGATCAAAGTTAAAATAGATATATTGTCATTTCTGGTAGCCCTTAATGGACTTTTGCTTTGCTGACCAGGACTGAACAATGAGGTTTTAAGGATCTGTTTATAGATAAGAGATGAGATACGGGATGAAGAGATCATTTGTTGTATTTTAAGAGAAGATGATTAAGTTGTTAAAATTGTTTATACTTGTTGTGATGAAGGGCGAAGTCACTTTTTCTCATATATATATAATTTCTTTGCTAGATTCTTATTTTTTCTTTCCTTTCTATTTTTTCTTTTTTTTCTGCACTTTCTATTTTTTTCTATTTTATTTTTTGTAGTTTGTACTAGCTTTTATCTTTATAATTGTAATGCTTAATAAAATTATTATATAAAAAAAGAAAGCTTACTGAGCTTATTTAAGCTCTTTAGACATTCTTGAAAATAAAGATGTTCCAAGAGATTGGCACTTTGACCTTCAGTATGCCAACTTGCCATTTTTTAACTGAAAGTTTTTTTTTCTAAAATGTAAAAAGCAGGGCACCAAAAGAAGCATCTGCAGACACATAAGCACCCTTGCTACCACACTGAAGGCCTTAGTTTTAGGGTAATTATGCATGATACTTTTATCAATTTAGAAATTGCCTAGCAAACAGTCAAAGTCAAACGCCCTTTAAGACACAATGTTTGAAAATGTGCAAATACCAGGAAACATTTAAGCACTTGTAAAATGCTTTGCGACTTCTGCTACAACATTTCAAACACTTCAAACTTGAAGCTGGTTCTACTGACTTTTTGGAAGAGTTGTGAGCTCAAAAGATAACATTATAGCTTTAAAACTGGTAGCTGAGTTTTTTCTATTGTTTTCTTCTCACTTCTCCTTTCTTTCATATCATATCTTTTAGGTTCCAAGCATCCTAGGGTCAGGTACTGTCCTGTTTGTTATTGGTGTAAGCATTTCTGATAGATTTTTTCACTAAAGGTAAGAATGAAAATACTTTAAACTGTCACTTACTTTTCATTCATTTCTAAACACCAGATTTCCAGTTCCATGGAATCTCCCTGCAGTGGGAAAAAAAAGTATTTCAATCAAGGCTTTATCATGACAAAGCTTTTACTTGTAAACAAGTACTTAGTACAGATGAGTCAGTGGATGTTGCTGAAAAAAGGCAAATGAAATTTTAAGCTGACTTAACATTAGTATAGTTTCCAAATTATGAAAAGTAATACCTTCAAATATCTGAAGGAATGTCACACAGAAGAAGCTCGAGACTTGTTCTGTCACTGCAGAATGCAGGACATGAAATAATGGATTTAAAATACAGGAAAGCTAATTTTGACTGAATATTAGGAAAAGATTCCTAAAGATTCCTAAGAGCGGTTGATAGTAGAACCAACTACTAATGGAGGTGGTGAGCTCCAATTCATTGGGTGTGTTCAAGCTGAGTTGGATAGTTATCCACCAGCAATGTTTTAATTTGGATCCTAGTACCCCATTGGGGCTGGATTTGACAGTTTAAATGCCCCCTTTCAATGGTATGATTTGTAAAGTGATTTTAATAAATAGTGAATCTTCATAAAGAGATGAAAAAACAAGGTTCTCTTCATGTGAACCAGTAAGTTAAATCTTATTCTGATCATGAGGCATGTTATAAAAAGAATACAAACGTGTTTTTCAGCATTCTAAAAAATATAAGCTAAATTTGTAGTTATACCAAGCTTCCTGTGGATTGCAATTAGTTTAAGAATGTACATATAAAAATAGAGCCAACATACTTTTGGTATATTTGTATAAGAATAGCATGAATTTTTGACTGAATTTCAGCAGTGGATATAGAATTCCTCATCAGTTAGATAATTACTCATGTGCAGCTAGTTAGTTGGCTGGTATTGAATCTTTTGCTTCTATAAACCACAAGATAGCCAAATATTAAGATGAACAGTGTTTGGGGAATAGGGTTATTTGTCCTATTTGTAGAACTTTTGTACTGTCCCTTTCTTAAATGAACAAAAGCGGAGTTTTATTTATTTATTAATATTTCTATCCACTATCTCATCATTTAAAACAATTCCAAATTGAATTCCTGGAAAGAAGATCCCTTATGTAACAATAATAGGCATTATTATTATATATTAATATATTATTGTTGATTGCACAGTCAGCCAGATATTTAGACTGGATTTGGCATTTTTATACACCTATCAAGTCCTTCGCTATTATTATTGTTTTTGTTATTATTAGACATGAAAGCTGGCTGGGTGACTTTGGGCCAGTCACTCTCAGCCCAACTCACCTCACGGGGTTGTTGTTGTGGGGAAAATAGGAGGAAGGAGTGTTAGGTATGTTCACCACCTTGAGTTATTTATAAAAATAATAAAGGTGGGATAAAAAAAAATCTAAAAAAAAATAATGCAATGACTAAACAGAGTACTTTTTATATATATGAAAATTATCTATAATACTGCCAACAGTGGTTTACTGAAACCTGTTTTGCTAATTTTCATATGCATGACATGAAGCCATGTAATAAAATCTGAGATGAATCTTAAGAAGAAAAAGAATTGTTGATTCAGCTTATACCTCAGAGGTTTTAAGGGAGATTTCCACACACATTGACCGTCCAACAGCAGGCAGCTGTCCTGCCAAAGCTTTTTTTGCTTCATGAGTAACTTCTGGTATGTCTTTGATTGCCAAGTTGAACTGTAAAATTAGGAATGTAGATTTTAATTTTCAGGAACTTACTTTAGAAACCTGTTGTCTACCATACTGCAGGAATGTGTATAATAAAACCCAGTTCATGATAGATTAATCTCACAACCATAGAACAAAGCATCCTCTGCTGACACATACTGCAGATTAATAAACGCTGATTTCCTCATTATACTGTTGTAAAGCAGCAATATATAAGCACGCAAATATATACAAATTCCATTTGCTTTCACTACCCCTCTCTAAAAATGTTGTATCAGAGTCACAAATACTCAATAAGAAGATCTAAAAATAACTTGTAAAGGAGGAGTGTATTGCTCAGATACATTCTATAGTTATACAACTACCCTCAAGAGAACCAAAGTGGAAACCATGTGTAGTTAACATGACAAACCAAATGACATAACAAAGGGATTGATCTGAAAAATACATTTTACCCAGTCAGAGCCTGTTGGTGAGGAGGATGAGCGAGTGCAGATTTTTTCTCCAAGTCGGGCCTGCACAATCACCTGTACAGTCTGAAAGACAAAACATGCTTACTGCCTTGAGAAAAGTCAAGGAGTGACACTAGAGAAGACCTACTGGATGGTACTATATTGGAAAAAATGAAAGGAAGTACAAAAGCCAAATTACTTAACTGTATGATATCAGAAGTCAGAAAGATATGCATGAGTTACTAATTGCTCAGATCCTGGGCAGAACACCTTTAGGAGGTCATATAATTTTGCCTATATCTCTTAGCAATTTATCTACAATTCCTTTGCATTAGGGTTGTGCACACTTCAAAAATTATATTCATTCATTCATTCATTCATTCATTCATTCATTCATTCATTACATTTATAGCCTGCCCATCTCATATGGTAGCTAACAATTAAAACAGTAAAAAACAATAAAAAGAACAGAATCGAGAAGAACAGAAATTCTGAAGAAGTTCTTCAGACTCCGAGCAGGTATAACAGCTCTTAATGAAGAAGTTATGTCTTTGTTACTGAAGAAAAAGGGCTGTTGCTTTAGGGTTGTATTAACTTTAGCATTGAGATTCCTGAATCTTTCCTATTCCCTCTGACTTCCAAACCTCATCTCATAATGCATGTGGACAGACCTATTCCGTTTTTAAAGCCAGAAATCCAGAAAAATTGAAAGGCTTATACATTGCAGAATTAAATTCTACATTTTTGTGTTACTGCCACTGAATTGCAATACGAAGCTTCAATTTTTGTTATGGTACAGTCTAAATTATATATACATACACACACACATGCACACTTATATCAAATAACTGAGAGCCAGTTTGGACCAGTGGTTAAGGCTCCAGGCTAGAAACCAGGAGACTGAGTTCTAGCTCTGCCTCAGGCATGAAAGCTGGCTGGGTAACTTTGTGCCAGTCACTCTGTCTCAGCCCACAACGTCAGGCTCGGGCAACAAGCCAGTTGGTCAATTCCTGTCACAACCGATGGATCAACATTTGGTTGATCTGAAAAAAGTGGACGCTGCACCTGCAGGAAAAGTGCTAGGAAGAAAAAATATATATTACCTTCAAAGCAAAAAATTTTATGAACTTGTCCAAGTCCTTCCTGTCCTGGGAGCTGAGGTCAGTATCCATTGCACATGGAAGTCTGAAACAGGACAAAAATATTTTGATTCATGTTTCCAGTCTTAGAAGTCCTGTTATATTATTCAACCAAGCTAATTTTAAACAATCAACAAGCTGATTTTAAAAGTCATCCACAGCTAATGAAATCAATCTATCAGCCACTACTGGTGAAATCAACTTGTTTACTTAGATAAACAGAAATTATGAAGATTCAGTGAAAGTTACATTCTGAACTGTTGTAAACTATCTGCACTTTTCAGAATCCCCTCAGTTGTAACAAAACTGGAGAAGCAAAATCAAGTAACTTTTTATTTAACCTGCTGAACTTGCTAGAGCTATGTAATGAATAAGGGTTAATCATTTGTGAAATGACTTTTAGGTAATGCAATTTGAGACAATGAATATGTGCTGACATTTCATTATTCATGATATTAGTTTATTCAGAGTAGTTCTGAAACTGAACTCAGCAGCAGTTGATGTCATGTCCTTATATACTGTCTGTGTTCTATACAACAGAATGGTGGTTTAATGAAGAGGAAGGTTAGTCAAGTTGAGGTGATGATAAGCAAGCCTAAATATACATACTTTGGACATATGATGCAATCAGACAATACACTAGAAAAGAAAACAACTATGCTTGACAAAGTTGAGAGAAGCAGAAGACAATGGATAACATGGGTGGATGGATCAAATAGATTACTGGAGTGTCCTTGGAAGAGCTATGGACATACATAGCCACAGCAAACCAAAAAGCAGAAATACTGTAAACTACCTGCATGATATCTTCCAATGCACAACCCACAAAAAGAATAACTGTCCCCTTCGTTAAAGGCATCTTAGAGTCTACTAACAAGCCACCCTAGCTATTTGGAATAAATATGGCACGCAAACCAACAAGTCCCTACCAAGAATACTGAGCATACCCAAAGACCTAATACCAAAGGAAAACAACAGGGAGTCATCTACAAAATAAAATGCAAGGACTCTGAACTACATTATATAAGACAAACAACAGAAATTAGCAGAATGAATCCACAAACACCAACTAGCTCTCAAAAGACATAATGTGACTTTACTATCTCCCGCTGCAGAGACAGCCTCAAGCATAACGTCAGCTGGGAAACTGGAAATCTTAAAACAAGCCAAATCAAAAAATACAAGAGCATTCTTGGAAGCACAGCACTCTGAGCAAACAGCAATTAACAGACTACAGATTTAAACTTTTACCCATCAAAAGACATAACCAAAGACCCAACGTTAGCACATCAGCTCAATACACAATGATCCACATATCACACAGCAATCAACCAATACATAGACAAACTAGTCATCTCCTTATTAACTTAATAACCAAAAACCAACTACAATTCAACATTCACAGGAAAAAAACAACACCTTCCACTTGAACACCTTCCATTCCATGACGTAGCTATAAGTATCACAGATCATACAGGAAACAACCAACACAGACATGAGACAGAACCACCACCTTATCAGCCAAATAAATAATTTACAAAGCATAAGGCATCAATTACTTACAAAACACCATCTGCCCAGAGGACCATCCCATCCAAGTATGAACAAAGCAGGAAAGCCAGAAGGATATATAATCCTTGCCAACCAACAAATCTCACTACTCTAAAATTCCTGCACTGATAATGTTATGAAGAAGGGTAATGAAACCAAGTTTGCTGAAGTCTAACAATCTAACAGAGATTCTGTCAAGATGATGGCATGTGCATGATGACACCATGATGTGTATGACCCTCTCATGTATTTGCCTCCTGATGTCTAATGCAAGTACAAAAGTAGCATTTTGTGTATCATAATGTTTTATCACTTGCTCCCCACAGATATCCATGGCTGTGGATTATTCTCAGAGACAAGTCAAGATGGTGAGCATTTGTCTATATAGGCAGCAAGGTTGAGCCAGACTTGATTGTACTAAATACCTAGGTTAGAACATGCTAGGTACAAAATAGTTTTCATGTTGCAGGGATAAATAAGCTCCTATCTCTCAAATTTGAAAATGTGAAAAATAAGTTGTTCAGATCTTTATAATAGCTCCTTTTAACAACTATAATAATGAATAATACAGTCTTAGCATTCTGTGCTTATTTAGTGTGCATAGATCAAGAAAAATCTATTATCATAATTAAGATCAGGGCAGGACCAAACTTCCAAACAGAACCTTGTTAGCACTTCACATTACAATCTCTCAATAATCTTTTTGTTCAAAAATGACAATCGGTGGCATCAGAGATTAGGCTAACTGGTTTTGAATTTTACATAAAGCAAGGGTAGGCAAACCTTTTAAGCCAGTCAGCACATATGGATTCTTGAAGTACATTATGGGTGCTCCTATAAAATGACCTCCATTGGGGAGGGCAGGGTATAGATGGCTCTGCCTTTCAATAAAGGTTTTGCTAGGATTGTCTTGGACAGTCACATAGCACACCATTATAAAAAGGCAAACTGTTGAAATTACTCCTCTCACAAAGCCCCCCCATGATATTTCTTGCCACTGCAGTTTACTTTTTTTCCCTGGGAATGTCAAAACACTTCAAATAAATCATTGTTTTTCGGTTCCCAAGAATGCCTGTGATGCCTATATGGGGCCCAGAGCTATTGTTGGAAATAAAATTGATGCTATATGCTAGTGATTTGCAGCATAAAAGCTTTCTTCAAGAAAAAGAAAGAGGGAATATGTTAAATTCAAGCAGGGCATCATCTATCCCAAGCACAAGGATTAATTCATTTGCCCTACAGCAGAGCATTGTTAATCGGCAAATAAGACAATGATGGAGTGGCTGATATTATTATATCCTGTAACTGTGTTGCCTCAGTGAACACGAGGGCTGAGCCTGAATTTTGTATATCACAGTCTTACTGTGGTCCCATATGAGAAAAAAAGTTCATGAATCTAAATGCTTATAGAAGGAATTTCTTTAAGATGGCAGAATATACCCTTCTCTGTATTTCAGAGTGTTTCATAATACATTTATTCTGTTCATTGTATTGTGAGCCACCCAGAGTCATTCTGGAGTTGGGTAGCATCAAACTGAATGAATGAATAAAATATAGTAATTCAGCCTGGATGTAACCAATGAATGTATTGTATTACCAATGTGTGACATGTCTTCTCTAATGCCTTATTCACATAACACTTCATTACTAGTTTGACATCTACCTATTAGTTTATCACCAGGCAGCTCAGCAAAACTGAAACTATCCCCAATTTACTTGGGAGCAGCTACCATGGGCAATATCCTAATCACCTTAGCCAAGACTTTTCCCTTTTAAAAAAAAGAAAGAAAAAGGGGGGAAAGAAACCCTCTCCAAAATCTGCATCAAGGTTGGAGCAACAGTAGACGGGACTGGGGAAGGCAGAGCCTCTTCTCACCTCTTTCATCTTTTCATTTCATACACCTTCCTGGGAGAAGGAAAGGGAAAAATGGGGTAAAACATGCCGCAGCTAGGGCTGCAACAGTCTGTAGTTATTCTAACTTCCCATCTGTTTCCAGAGGTCTGAAGGGGATTACCTAATAGATTTATCTCCTTTTTTGAGTCTGGATGACATGGGGGGTTGGGATTAAGAGCAATTAATAATTAACCTTCACTAAAAATTGTGGTTAAAGTGTTTTGCCTTCATTACAGTTTTATCATAATCTGATTCCACATATCTCTTTATGTTTAATATTAACCTAGCAATGCAGATTGCATGTGTGCAGCCTAAATAAGGATGGAATGAATTAATCAAAGCTGGTAAAAAGTGCTACTGTTGATATTTGTGCCTTGATAGAGAGCACCGAGTCCAATAAGAGGCAGGAGCATTAGGTACGTTCACCGCCTTGAGTTTAGATATGAAAAAGGCGGGACAAAGATCTCATCTTCATCTTAAACTTTGTTTGCATGACACACTGAATCATAAACTAGTCAACATTTTAATCTAGCATGTTCTGCATAGTCAGCCCCTATGATTAAATTACAGTTAGATGTGCCTTGTAAACCTCAACATTTGGATTAATTCAGAAAGTATGTAATGAAGAATTACGCATCATCACTGAGAACAGCAGATTTTCTGATCCGTAATACTTCTGCTTTGGCTGGGCTGTTTCAATTGCATTGCTTTATATCCTATCTAAAAATGTTCCAGACACATGTTTAAGGTTTATACTACCTCTTTAGGATTAGAATGTGGAAAAGTTTATAATCACTCCAAATTTCCAGATGATTTCACCTGATCATACAACACTTTTCCATGATTCATAAATCCATGTACTGAATAAACCAAAATTGAATGCACTCACAGATTATGCTAAATCACAAAAAGCAAATCACATTATGGCTGAGGACGATGTGCGAACAGAGTTTCAAATAAAGATGGAATCTTACTGTAATGGCTGCAGAATGAAATAGAAGCCAGAGGGTCTGATCTGGACCCTCCCCCAAGTCAGACGTGAGTCATTACAGTAGCTTTATGGCTGAACTCCTACATCACAGTAAGCCATGTTTTCTTTAATCATGATTTAATCAAAATTAGCTGAATTCACACATGTTAATCCATGATTATTTAAAGTCACAATGGCTAGATTCGCTCAAACACAAAGATATTACCTTAAATCTTAATGAAATGTGCAAATCCATCCCAAGTATCAACCTAGAAATATAACCCAGGAAGATACCATGGTTGATGGTCTGTTAGGAGAACTAACAGGTCAAGCTCTTCTGTCCATTTCCTGGTATGATTCATCCACCGAGTCTTCTCAAATTCAAAAGCTAGACCAGAGTGTGTGGACAGCATATGTATAATTCCCTTTGTCTTTCCAATCCAATGTTCTACACATCATTTTCTGTCCCTTACCTAACTGGAACTCAGGAACAGTGCTATATTTGTACACACAACCTATGAAGATCTACCTAGCTGAGATGCAGGAGGTAATCATTACCTGTACAGGAGAGGCTGAGGTGACAATTCGAGGTTTCATCCCGGGATTAACCCAGAGGCTTATCCTAGCCTCTTTGCTTGGCCATATTCATTTGGCTTCCCTTAATCCCGACCTCTCGTCTTGATACAGGATGGAAGATGCCTCCTTTCCTCCTGCTGAGGATCTTCTCAGTTTCAGGTAGCACAGAAATCAATATCTTTTGGATTGGGATCTTCTCAGTCCAACTGGGAAGGAAAAGCACTAAGGAACCTACAGTTCCGGTCGGCTGGCCCAGTGGCTACCTTGCCTAATTTCCGCGTGGATGCAGCCAGGGGAAAGGCGCGAGCGGAGTGGGAGTCTAAATTCTCAGCTTGGCTCTTGAGGGTTGGTGGAGAGTACGGCGGAGTCCTTTAAACCCGAGCTAAAATCAGAATTTGACCCTGGGGCAGCAACAGCAAGAGCCTCTCTTTCCAGGCTTGGCTCAGACAGAGTGGAAATGCCTCCAGCTCGGCCACGAGTAGATTCGTCCGAGTGGCGCTCTTTCCAAGAAGAGCTCTCTGAGAGATGCTTGCGCCCAAAGAAAGGGCACCGGGCTGATCGGCCCTCTAACCTGATTTCTTCGCTGAAAACTGAGGGGGCCGTGGCGGTGCCTCACGACCGCGGCCTCCCCCGGGATCCCGCAATTGTCGTCGCCGTCGCCATTGCTGATGTTTGTTTTCATCGGCTTAGGGCAAATGAGGCAACCAGGGCAGCACTTTTCACACGGAATCGAAATATTTTTTTTTCCCTCTCAGCAGTCTTTTTTCTGCCTCCCTCCAGATGAATTATGCCGCAACTCTCATAAGTGTTGAAAAGGCCTGGCTGCAAATTAAAAAAAAAATCACACTTGTGAAGAATCTGCGTTTAGGAAACAGCAGCTTGTGCGCCGTGCGAGAGTCTATAGCCCCGCCTCATTCTCCCGGCGCTGGGGAGAAAGACCGGAATCAGCGTCTTTGGTTCCCCTGGAATAATCCTAGGAGGGGAAAAAGAGGTGAACGCGCAGGCTATTTCTTCTACCCCACGACATACTTTTTTTCTTGATCTCATTTTCAGCACATACTTCCCCGCCATAGACATTCCCGGGAATGCAGTCCCTAACTCCGGCTTTCAATCTCCCTAGATGACTTCCAAGCAAACCCTCCTTCCCCGGGTTAGCTCCTTGACCTCAGCAAAAGCCTCTAGGCTAGGGCGATTGATGAGATGCTTTGTACTTTAAAGTGTTCTGTTGTGCCACCTGTGCAACTTAGCTGATTGTGTTTGGGTCACTCATTTTAAAGTAAGCCTTAGTTTATATCATAATTACAATGATAGATAGATTATAATGTACTCATAGTCAGGTGTAACTTGTTTTGAAACGTTGACCTAATTTCATACTTCTCTGCCCTTCTCCAGCTGCTTCTTTTATCCTCAGGCCTCACTTTATCATTTATATCTAATGTCCATTCTCTCTCTCATGCACCTTTACCACCAGCCATTTCCAATGGTTCCCATTCTTTTTAATTAAAATGGTTCTTAATCTAGGACAGGGTTCCCCAAAGTGGTCAATATCGACCCCCAACTGTCAATGGGACTATCCATTGTTGTTATTATTCATAGTACTATTAGTTCAAGTATTTATTAAATTATTTTCATATCATAATTGTTAGGGGGTCGATGAACAATCTAAAATTTCATGAAGAGGTCAATGAGCTAAAGAGTTGGGGACCCCTGATCTAGGACCATAGCAAGTAACTTGCAAGATGTGCTAGGCCAAAATGTGATTGGCTGTTTGTGGCTCAGTATGTCAGACAAACAAAGTTTTCTACCATAATAAAACAGGCATTTCCCGCATCATTATTTTTGAAGATCCCTTTGTTCTCCAAACAGTTTGCAGCACTAGAAATGTGTTTGGCTGCACAAATAATCCCCTATAAATTTGCTGGTATCTAACAATACAGGATTCACAATAATGGATTATGCGATTTGTTTAAGTATACATACCGATAATACATGTATTCAAAAGATTACTGAAATCTTTTTAATTAAAAAAATAATATATCTCTTCAATACTTTACGAACATTACAACTATATTAATTATACATTAGCAGGAATTCTAGAGGCTAGGAAAAACAGTGTAAGTTATGATCCTGAGGGAGGTATTTTTCTAATACAGCCTTAAGACTGGAGGAGGCTGCTGAGAGTTCAAACAAGGGCATGGCTAAGTATATTCAAATACTGGCTAAAGATGAATCTCCAACTCTAAGGCTTGACCTCTCTTATTTTGTTTGATATATGTCATTCTACCTGGAAGCAACAGATTGGAGGTAAAATTCATAAATTGGGCTAAGCACCAGAAGTAATACTTCTAAGGTTAAAGATTTGTTAGTTTAGCTGGGGACATGAATGTGCATGTATTTTTGTCTGCAGATGATGACTTCCTAGATGAAAACACATATGATTTGCATCAAATGTTAGATTGTATGGATCTGGAAATTAATGTAGTTTAAGATAGTTATACTTGAACGGGGGAAAATGGAATAAATTATTGCAAGTTATATATAAATGGCACAAAACTGGAGCAAATAGATTAATTTGCAGCTTGATAATGCTTACCATGGGAAAATGGATGGAGAAGGTTTAAGATGTTCAAATGCTGGAAGAAAGATTGTGGGTGTTCTTGTAAGTGGAATGGAAAGAAAGAAAGGAAAGAAGCTAATATGGCTATGTACTGTATATTAGCAAGTCTCTGTCCACTTTGTTATATGGAAGTGATAGTTGGGTATGTCAGGAGAAACATAAAAGTAAGTTGATAAGGGATACTTAAGAACTGTGTGTGGTAAAATGAGAAAGAAAGAATGGTTGGTGAATGAATGTGAATGCAAAAATTAGTGGGCAACATGAAAAAAGGTACATTGAAGCGGTTTTATCATATAGAGAATGAATGAGGATCAAATTGCAAAACAAACATATGAAAAAAGGATGAAGGCATCCAGAAGAAGAACAAGAAAGTCCTGGTTGGGTGGAGTTGATGAAGTGTTCAAAAATAGGTAAGCAATTTGAAAAATAAAAGGTGATGTAGTGTGTGGAGGGGTAGAAGCAAGGTTGTTTTGCAAGAATAGAGGTAAATGGTATGGGTGTAAACTAGATTTAGCTATAGTTTTTTTTCCCTCTTATATCATGTCTTTAATTTCTTTGGCTTGCTACTTCATATCCCATTTCTGTAGTTTGAATAACACTATTTATGCCAAAAGGGAATAGCAGGATAAGTATGTATGTATGTATGTATGTATGTATGTGAAGCCTCCGTTAACCTTAATCTGTGTTATCATGATACACTTAAATATATCTAATTGAATCTATGCTTAAGTATATTTATCAGTACTTAATTTAACATTTTTGTTCTTTTGAGCAACTGAATCCAACATTCACAATAAATAATCAATCCTCTAGTACAGTATATAACGTTTAGTTTTTAGGTTACCTTTTAGCTAAAGTAATATTTAAAGTAAAATGGTGATTTTGCTTTCTTGCTAGGTTTAGTAGATTCCTACCTCCCTCTCTTTTCTCATTATTGTAAAATGGAAAAAAATAGAACTATTGGGGAAATAACTTCATTTTTCAGTGCTACATATTTCTAAGAAAAACATGAACTTAATTTAATTGGTGCATGTAAATTAACTCCCTGATTTACATCTATAGGGAATTATTTTATATGCATCAATCAAAAAGAAGAAAACATTTTCCTAAACTTGTTTGATTGGTTTGGAGAGAGAATGTAAACATGGTACTAATTTCTTGTGGAATATGTACTCTTCAAGTTTTATATATGACCTTGGGTTAATATTAATTGTGCATTCTTGCATGCTGAAATATCCGCTGGCTCTGTAAAATTATAAATAGCTTTAAAAAAAAAATCCATTAGAATTTTGCCAGAAAGATTGGCTAATTCACCCTTAACTGAAGTTAATAGCAGAATCTCATGGAGACCTCATTTCCTTATTTTCCAGCAAAATTATTTGGTAGGAGTTTGGTACATTAATAATTCTGTTTATTACATTAAAAAGTTTATTACATATCTTTTGCTTGCATTCTCAGAAAGTTATACTTTAGTTTTACAGGAATAATATCAAATAAAATGAGAGTTCTTATATATAAATGAATTTCAAAGTCCTATTCAACAGTTGTGCTATTTAAACCAATGTGATTTATGCTGAATTGAAGTAGTATGAAGAAAACAGCAGGGAAATGTAATATTTTTATCAATATGCTGTATTTTCTTTTTGCTTTCTTTTGACCTGCATTCTTTTCTAATGAAGGTCAACATAGAGAAGGAAGATCAACCTATTATGGCTATTCCCATAGCAGTTATTGATTGTGATCTCTTCCTGTATGGACGTGGACATAGGACACTGGATCGCTTCAAGCTGGAGGATGTTACTGATGAATATTTGGTATCTATGTATGGATTTCCACGTCAGTTCATCTATTATTTGGTGGATCTTCTAGGTGCCAATCTTTCTCGTCCCACCCAACGATCCAGGGCTATCAGTCCAGAGACGCAGATTCTTGCTGCGTTAGGTTTTTATACTTCTGGCTCTTTTCAGACTCGCATGGGAGATGCCATTGGCATTAGCCAAGCATCTATGAGTCGTTGTGTTGCCAATGTTACCGATGCCTTGGTGGAAAGAGCCTCTCAGTTTATTCATTTCCCAGAAGATGAAGTGTCAATACAACATCTGAAAGATGACTTTTATGGGCTGGCAGGTATGCCAGGGGTACTAGGATTGGTTGACTGCAACCATGTAGCAATAAAGGCACCCAATGCTGAGGACTTGTCGTATGTGAATCGAAAGGGCCTTCATTCTTTAAATTGCCTGATGGTGTGTAATGCCAGGGGAATGCTGCTGAGTGCAGAAACACACTGGCCAGGCAGCCTGCAGGACTGCACTGTGCTGCAGCAGTCAGCTCTAAGAAACCGATTTGAAGCTGGCATGCAGAAAGATGGATGGCTACTTGGTAAGTTCATGCTGATTGCTAGTTCTCTAAATCTGTTTTGGTTAAAGTTCTGATTGATTCACTGACATGTAAAATAACACAAACAGTTACATCATAAAAATTTCTGTTTTTATAAGTATTAAATATGTGTAGCTTAAGATGTATGTTTTGTTCCCTTTGCTAAGGCATCAACTGGATTTCAGATTCAAATATCAGATGCTGAAAATTAAACTAGAATTTTTTGCTGTTTACTTGTTATTTACTAGCTATCTTTTTTTCTTAATTTTACAGGTGATAGTTCTTTCTTACTTCGCACCTGGCTAATGACTCCTCTGCATATTCCTGAAACACCTGCAATGTACAGATATAACATGGCACATTCAGCAACTCATAATATTATTGAACGAACATTCAGGACAATCCAATCCCGGTTCCGTTGTTTGGATGGATCAAAGGGGACATTACAGTATTCTCCAGAAAAAGCAAGCAACATCATCCTGGCTTGCTGTGTACTTCATAATATCTCTCTGGAGCATGGGATGGATATATGGTCTTCCTCAGATTTGGAACAAGTGGAACATCCAGAGGAAGAATATGAGCATATGGAATCCCTTGATTCTGAAGCCCTCAGAGTTCGCCAGGAATTATTGCTTACACACTTTAGCTAACCGAATTTGAGGATATCAAGTTGGATTTAAGAAAAAAGATAGAGGGAAGCATAGCTTAAGTTTTTTTTAAAGAATTTGCCAAGAGGAATGTATTATTTATCAGTACTTTGAGAAAATAAAATGTTGAACATGTGCATCTATAAGGATTTTGATTCTAGTGTACATGTTGTATCTTAGTCTACGAAATACAGGGTTATCTTTAATGTCCAGCTTTACTGAAAAAAATTAATCAAAGATATAACATGAAATCACATGGGATTATTTTCCTGATAAAATGCTATATTTTGAAGTATTGCAAAATATCATTAAAAGTATCTTGTTTTCTTTGTAATTAAATCCAAAACAATTAAGTTCAGATTACTAATTGTAATTTATTGCAGACTATATACCACAATTATGTAATAAATTATTTTGCCACATAATTTACAATGCTTTTTAGTTATCAACTATATTTATGTAAAAGAGCATTTGTGTTGAAATATGGTAGAGTTCTCAAAGGATGTGTCACTTCAAAAATCCTGTTCTCTTGTACTAGCATCCTCAAGAATGTAGGTCATAAGGTTTAGGTTGTGATACATTTCATCACTTGCTTCTCTCTCCACATGATGCATATGAGCAAATCTGAATGCACCTTAAACATACTGTAATAATTGCCAAAAATCAGTGTGAATTTGTAATGTGGCTCCAAGAAAGGCAAATTCAGGGCTATTCTGCATCAAAAGAAGTATAATTTCTCAAGCACATGGAGAAATCTCACTTTATTTTGCATTGGCCAGATCCCACCTTGATTACTATGTCCAGTTCTGGCAGCATACTTTAAGAAGAAATAAAAAATTGGGACAGGTTCAGAGAGGCACAGCAAGAATGATCAGAGGACTAGAAACTAAGTCTAATCTCTTGAGTCTAAATGCAGTTTAAGAGTGGAAACCGTTACTAGAGACATGATGGATCCCCCTTCATGCTGTAGACAGCATCTGTCACAGGTGCTTTAATTTGGATTCCTGCCTTGCTCATTGGACTAAATGGTTCCTTTCAATTCACTGATTCTGTAACTGCAACCTAGCAAATCTAGCCCATGTAACCAACTATCTTTTAGTCTATAACATCCAATCCCTGTAATTAATTGGTCTGAGTATGCAGGTGATCCTTGTTGAACAACCATTCATTCAGCGACCGAACTTGTGACGACGCTGAACGAGGAGTAATAACCAGTCCTTGAAGTTCCGGCTGTCGTAGCCCCCCTGTGGTCACAGGTTCATGATCTCGACACTCAGCAACCAGCCCAGATTTCCGACCATCACAGTGTCCTGCAGTCATGTGATTGTGATTTGTGACCTTCCCTGCCGACTTCCCACAAGCAAAGTCAATGGGGAAGCTGGCAGGAAGTCAGAAGTCATGATCATGTGAAGCCTTGCTTAATGACCCACGCAGTCCTCGCTTAATGACAGTAACCAGGGACTGTCGGAACTGCTGTTGCTAAGTGGTGTGGTCATGTGACTTCACGCTTTACAACTGCATCACTTAGCAACGGAAATCCCAGTCCCGATTACCTTTGTTAAGCGAGGACTACCTGTACTATGATTAAGTTAATAATCTATTAAATTGATTTATATGGCCACCTATCTTGTGAATGTGACTCTGGGCAACTACAACATGTTAAAACAATTAAAAAAAAATACTAGCAAAAAATTAAAAACAACAGTCACTGAGGATAAACCCAAATAAAACAATTAAAAGAGATCTCTGAATAGGCCATCTAACCTCCTGACCCCCAGGTCCTGGAATATATCCAGGTCTTCAACACTTTACAAAAAGTGAGTAGGGTCGGGGACAATCTGATCTCAAGGGGTATGGTGTTCCAGAGGGCAGGTGCTGTGACAGAAAAGGCATGCTTCCAAGGTCTCATATGATGACATGATTTAGTTGAAGGGGTCCAAAGCGTGCCCTTCCTGTCAGACCAAGTAGAAACAACTGTGGAGAGGTGGTCCCTCAGATAACCCAGTCCCATGCCATGGAAGGCTGTATAGCTGAAACCAGCACCTTGAATTTTACCCAGTAGCACATTGACAGCCAGTATAGTTTGTGGAGCAGAGGTGTAACATGGTGTACTGAGGTGTGGCCATAACTGGCTGCACTGTTGCATTCTGGACCAGCTGTAGTTCTGCCACCCTAATGGCAGAAAGTGAAGAAGAACTAAAGAGCCTCTTGATGAGGGTAAAAGAGGAAAGTGCAAAAGCT